CTTCCCTCCTTTGTTTTTTAATGCCACTAGGACCAGCTTGCGAGTCACTGGACCCGTCGCACAAAATATATGTCCAGATAGGTCTGTTTCTGGCATCTCTTTAAGATTTGCCTAAAATGGGACATGGCATTGTCACTGTAAAAGTTGCCAGCATGGATTGCAACAGCTTTCTCAGGGTGATGTTCCTCCACAAATGAATGCACTTTATTCCACATTGCACAAATCTCCTTAATCTTTGAAGAAGGCACCTTCTTTCTTCTCTCTTCCTCCTCCTCTGAAGCAATTTCTTGAGCTGTGGTCTGTTGCTGTTGCAGATGAAGCTCTTGCAGCTCATCAGCGGTTAGCTCTTGATTGTGGTCCTCCACCAACTCTTCCACATCCTGGCCACTCACATCCAACCCCTTGGAATTCCCCAATGCCACAAATGATTGCACAACAGGTGTAGGGTCAACAGGGTCAGCCTCAAACCCTTCAAAATCCTTCTTTTGGACACAATCTGGCCACAATTTTTCCCATGCAGAGGTCATCGTCCTGGAAGTCACTCCCTGCCAAGCCTTATCTATAAGGCTTATGCAATAGAAAATATTGAAGTGATTCCTCTAGAACTCTCTTAGGGTCAACTCAGAGTCTGAGGTTATGTTAAAGCACCTTTGAAACATTGACTTGGTGTACAGTTTTTTGAAGTTTGCAATGATCTGCTGGTCCATGGGCTGGATGAGAGGAGTAGTGTTAGGAGACAAGAACTTCACTGTTACAAAACTGAATTCCTTAGACAATTGGTCTTCCAAATCTGGAGGATGAGAAGGAGCACTGTCCATTAACCCTTAAACTGTATAAATGTAGATCTATGTTCACCTGTGTGGCGCTCCGAATATTTTGAAAAATAAAAAAAATGTTTTTTTTGTTTTTAAATTAACCCTTTCAGGGTTTCAGCCATACTAGTACGGCTTATGCGCCAGTGTCCATGACATACTAGTACACATAAATTCTAGCGCCTTCAAATCTCGCGGGAAAAGGCTGGTAGGTCTAGGTGTGAGAGAATGGGTGTGTGTGGTCGGTGTGTGCAGTAGAAAAAAAATCTGGGGCCCAGTGGCGCATTGTGGGAATGCCATTTTAGTAGACGTTGTTCGCCATGCCTCGCGTTAAGAAGCTCCTCACTCCTCGGTGAATTGGGACACTTTTGTTCCCCATTGACAGTTCTAATACAGATGGAAGTGCCAGTGAAGATGGGTTTCAAGGTTTTGGTGAGGTTTTGACCAAAACTAATGACCATAATATCAGTAATAGTGAGGAAAACCCAGACGACCCTCAGCCTTCCACCTCTGCTGCTGGGCCGTCTTGTTCATGTTCAGTTGTACCAGAATCAAAGAGGAAACTCCTATTTTCCCAAATCCCAGAATCAGATGTGAGCATTGGAAATGATAATGAATATGAATTACAAGCTCTTGAAACCAGTTCCAATAGTGATAGTGAAGTGGAATATTCTCCAGTGAAGCGTCAGTATATACGACGATATATGCGCTCTGGTAGTGTGCCATATGCTATTCCAAGGGGAAGGAGTACATCTCGGAGTACATCCCGTGGCTGTACAACAGGAACAGACAGTGAAAATGACGATGATAGTGTTGCAATCGGGATGGAAAATGTGCATGGTGGTGGTAGTGGTGGTGCCGGCAGTGAGGCACCAGCAGTGGGCCATGCTGCCACCCACGCCGCTGCCTCAGCTGATCTACAACAAAGGCCATCATCCCCCACCCACCCACCACACCATCCTCCACAACCACAACCGCAACCTCTACAACCACAACCACCTGTCATTGTCCAGTACCCACCAGCAGACCGCACCTGGGATTGGCAGGAAGCTGTCAATTTTGTTCCAAATCCCCACCAGTTTGATGAAAGCCAAAGTGGAATACAGCCATGTTGTACACAGGGGAACAATGCCACTGAACTGGAATGTTTCGAGTTATTCTTTGACCAACCCCGATGAAAATTATTGTCAGTGAAAGCAACAGATAATACAAGTACACCATGGCAAACACAATACTTTCACCAAGCTCACGGCTACACAGGTGGAAGGAGACAACTGTGGCTGAGATGTATCTTTTCTTTGCCACAATAGTGCTTATGCCACATGTGTATAAGCACAGTTTGAAATCATACTGGTCAACAGACCGCCTGATTGCAACCCCAGGTTTCAGTGATATAATGGGAGTGAATCGATTTATGCTACTATTACGTATGCTTCACTTCTCAGACAAAACCAGGCCTGACAGAAATGACAGGTTATATAAGATTAGGAATGCGTTTGTGTATCTGAAAGAGAAATTCAACATGTATTTTTATCCCTTCAGGAAGCTTGTAATTGACGAGTCTTTGATTCTGTTCAAAGGAAGGACTCGCTTTCAAGCAGTACATACAAAGCAAGAGGAAACGCTTCGGTATAAAGTTGTTTGTGCCTTGTGATTGTTACAGTGGTCTTGTAATGGATATTATTGTATACACTGGAAGTTATACATTGCAAAATACCAGGAAGTTATTGGGCATCTCTGGTGATGTGGTTAGAACAATGATAGAACCATACCTTGGTAAGGGGCATACATTATATACTGATAACTGGTACACAAGCCCCTCACTCAGTGATTTTTTGCGAGTGAACATGACAGGTGTGTGGCAGAGTGCGTGCAAATTGTAAACATATGCCCAGGTTTGACGCTGGCACTCGTAGAGGTGAGGTGCAGGCGTTTGCTGCCAATGACATTATGGCATTTCAGTGGCATGACAAACGAGATGTCACACTGTTGTCATCAGTTCACCCTAACGAAATTCACAAACACTGGCAGGCAGCATAGAAAAAGCAATGAACCTGCAGCTGTGATTGATTACACCCTCAATATGCGCTCACTGGACAAATGTGACATGCAGATTGAGTTTGCTGATTGTGTTCGCAAGAGTTATAAGTGGTACATAAAACTCTTTTTCCATCTTCTGGACATTTCCATGCTCAATGCTTATAATATGTATAAGATGAGGACCAGAAACAAACCATCATATGCCGAATTTTGTTTGTCTATCATCAGACAAATAGTATTCAAGTACCAAGGAACAACACCTACAATAGAAAACCACCCACTAAATTATCAACAACTACCTTCTCATCTGAAGCATGGTGATCACTTCCTAATACAACTGCCTGCTACTGCTTTGAAAAAAAAGGCTCAGAAGGTGTTTTGTCTGTGCACATACAAAAAAAAAAAAAAGCCCACAACAATGCAGAGACACTCCACAATGCAGTGAGGAGTGTAAAACACCACTGCGCATGACACCATGTTTCAAAGACTTCCACCTGTACATCCATCTGTCTGTCTATTGATCTGTCTCTGCCTAGCTCTGTTTATCTATCTGTCTAGTTCAGCTTATCTGCCTTTCTGTCTTCTGTGTGTGGTCATGTTTATTTATGTCTTATACCTACAAACTCTGTATAGCACTTGGCCTGGAATTTTTGGGTTATCCTAAGTAATTTACATATGTATAATAACTGCATTTATGAGTACATGTGAGAGACAGAGATAGACAAGAGATATAGACAGAGAGATACAGACCGAGACAGCCAAAGCCAGCCGAATACATTACAATATAAAAAAGAAGGAACACTGCAGTAGGCCTACTGGCCCATGCAAGACAGGTCCATGTCACCCCCCCCTGCTTAGACCAATGACTCACCAAGTCAGGTCACATCCACTGAAAGAAGGAGCACGGTGTCTGACCTAGTAGCACAAGTTTGTCAGGTCTAACTCACACCCACCCACACCCACTCATGCATTTATCTAATCTATTTTTACTTTCTTCTTAACCCTTTCAGGGTCGGTGTCATACTAGTATGGCTTGCACACCAGGGTTGGTGCTGTACTAGTACGCGTAAATTCTAGCGCCTTCAAATCTAGCGAGAAAGCTCGTAGGCTTTCACATGAAAGAATGGGTCTGTGTGGTCAGTGTGCACAGTATAAAAAATCCTGCGGCACACAGTGCATAATGAGAAAAAAAAAATTTGTGTTTTCCGTTCAAAACAGCGACTTTGAAGTGTATTTTTGTATGGTAATTATGGTTGTATTCTCATTTTCTTGGTCTCATTTTACAGAATGGAAAACATATTACAGAAATTGAGATGATTTTGATTGGTTTCACAAGGAAAAGTACCTTGAAATTGAGCTCAAAGTAGCAGAAATGTTCAATTTTTGCCAATGTTCAAAAGTAAACAAATCATGCCACACGTCCAATACATGCCAACTGGTGAGTCTAATATTCTTTCACAAGTGCGCTGATATTATTTATACGATTTTTACACTAATGCAGTAATCTGCATAACAGTAAATCCTCTATTTTTAGTGAGAATAAAAATTCAAAGTGGAAAGTAATAGAAATGTAAGAGGGGCCTGGAGATATAACTAATGAACAGAGAAAATGTTATTTTAGTGCCAGGAATGTCTGTGTTGTTTATTATGGACCCTATTTTGAAATTGGCATTTGAAATTTGCGTGAAATTGGCAAAATTGCCAATTTCTGACCACTTTATTGGAAAACTGAAATCAGTAAATGGGTGGTTTCTTGTACTCATTTGATAGAACAAATGGAATTCTAGCGAAATAGCTACAACTTTTGCCGACTGGTACATTGGAACTGGCCGAAAATAGGTCTCAAATTGGGCGAAATCGCCGATGCATAAACATCGTCAAGACCGCTAACTTCGCAAGAGCATATTTCTGTAAGTTTTCCAGCAAATTTCATACTTTTGGTGTCATTGTGATTGGGAAAAGATTCTCTATCATTTCATAAGAAAAAATAATTTTTTTTTTTTTCAAAAAATTTTCGATCCTGAGAACAAGTTTAGGAAGGGGATCCTCGACCCTGAAAGGGTTAAAATGTGAGTGATAATATGACATGACATCAATGAATCCCTGGTGTTTGCCACGCTATTTGCTCTAGCTGGCGCTCAACTGAACTGGTGCTCCCACAAGGTACTAAGTGGTTCCTGATGTTTTTCATACTGCGCACACTGAGTGCACAGACCCATTCTTTCATGTCTAGGCGACTCAGGCCTATCGCACCAAATTTGAAGGAATGAAAAATAAAACGCTGAACTACGTTCGGAGCCCCCCGCATGTGAACATAGATCTACGTGTGGACAGTTTAAAGGTTAACAGGAGGCACTGGAGTGGCAGTTTATTATCCAGGAGGTATTTCTCCACACTCGGGCCAAACACTTCATTGAACCATTCCAGGAAAATTTCCCTAGTGACCCATGCCTTACTGTTAGCCTTCCACATCACACACAATTTACTCTTGACAACACTGTTTTTCTTGAACACTCTGGGATTTTCAGAGTGATACACCAGTAAAGACTTCACTTTGAAATCCCCACTAGCATTACCACACAACAAGAGAGTTAGCCTGTCTTTTATAGGCTTGTGTCATGGGAGTGCCTTTTCTTCCTGTGTGATGTAGGTCCTCTTTGGCATTTTCTTCAAAAACAGGCCTGTTTCGTCACAATTGAACACTTGTTGGGGTTGGAATTTTTCAGCCTCTACAAAGTCTTTGAATTCCCGCATGAATTTTTCAGCTGTATATTTGTGTGAACTGGCACCCTCACCATACCTTACAATGCTGTATGCCACTTTGCTTCTTGAATTTTTTGAGCCAGCCTTTGATGGCCTTAAATTCACCAACATTAGCACTTGTTTCAGGCAGTTTCTTTATGAGATTGTCATGCAACTGCCTTGCCTTTTCACAAACTGTCGACTGCACAACACTATCTCCTGCTAACTCTTTCTCTCTGATCCACACCAACAACAATTTCTCCACTTCTTCAAATGTCTGGGATCTCTGGTTATCGCATTCACCCCTTTCGCAACATCAGCTTCCATGATTTCTTTTCTCTTTACCACAATGGAGCTGATGGTTGATGGCGCCTTCCCATACATCCTGCCGAGTTCAGCAATGCGTATGCCACTATCGTATTTTCGGTCGATTTCTTTTTTCATTTCTACGGTGTTCCTCACTTTCTTTACCAAAGGACTGGCACTAGGAGCTTTCTTTGGGGCCATGGTGGCTTATTTAGCAGTCACACAATAAACAAGTGCCAAAAAAATGGATTTTTATTACGAAATGTTACGTATGACCTTGCAGGATATGTTTACTCACCGAGAAAACAACGTGACACTGCCTGAGATACGTGTGGGAGGCGGCTTTGTCTGCATGCTGGGCACTGGACAGGTTCCATACCACTGACGAAAATGAAGGAAACCGACAAAAACGGAACCAATATTTTTATGAAAAAAAAAAAGTCGGTGAAAATGGAAATCAGCGATACCGGAGGTCGACGAAAAGGGAGGGTCCACTGTACTTCCTCCTATTCACCCCAAATTTGCATGTTCCTCTGAATCAACAAACATTATTTTGCTCCATTCTTCCTACATGACCAAATTACCTTATTAAATGTTCTGCTCTATGAATAATAAATTTCATAATACCATGCTGCATTCTAATTTCTTTTTACGTTCTCTGCATACTATGTATGCATACTGGTTGGGATTTCAGTCACAAGCCAGTTAAAAAAAAATTTAAACATATTATGTTGTTGTTGTTGTTGTTTGTCCGTCGATTCGATGAGGACCATCTAGTCATCCTGGGGTCGAAGTTGGTGGGTACGCAGATGACTTGTCAAGCCAATCCGTGCACGAAACGTTCTCTGGCAGTGTGGACAGGGAAGGGTGGCGGCATCGAGGGGTCTGATGGCTCTGGTCTTCCTCGCCTGCCTGCGCTGCTCAGCTAGTGAGATTCTGCTTGCCTTGCAGGATGTTGCCCCTTTCTGGACAACTGCTCGCCAGTCATTCCTGTCCTGAGCTATCAGCTCCCACATGGTGTGGTTGATGTTGAAAGCTTTCAGAGCAGTCTTAAGGGTGTCCTTGTAGCGCTTCTTTTGGTCTCCTTGAGAACGCTTTCCATGCTGCAGTTCGCCAAACAAGAGCTTCTTTGGCAGCCGGTGGTCTGGCATGCGAGCAACGTGACCTGCCCAGCGAAGCTGTGTCTGCATTAGGATGGTGTAGATGCTAGGCAGGCCAGCTGTAGTCAGCACTTCTGTGTCTGGGATCTTATCTTGCCATTTGATGCCGAGAATTTTTCTGAGCCATGTGGTGTGAAAGGGGTTCAACTTTCTGGCGTGATGTTTGTAGACAGTCCAGGTTTTGCAGCCATAGAGAAGTGTGGTGAGGACTATGGCTCTGTACACCTTGATCTTGGTGCTTGTGGTGATGCCTCTTCGGTTCCATACATTCTTGTGGAGCCTGCCGAAGGTGGCACTGGCTTTGGCAAGTCTGGCATTCACCTCATCATCGATGTCAACGTTTCTGGAAAGGGTACTGCCGAGGTAGGTGAATTTGTCTACGGCGTTCAGTCGCTGCCCGTTGATGGTGATGTTTGTCTCAACATACGTCTTTCCCGGAGCAGGCTGGTGCATCACTTCAGTCTTCGTTGTACTGATTGTCAGCCCGAAGTTGTTGCAGGCGTCAGAGAACTTGTCAACACTGTGCCGCATGGCGGCTTCTGAAGCAGCATTGAGGGCGCAGTCATCAGCAAATAGCAGGTCACTGACCTGCTATTTGCAACATATTATGTACAGTCCACAGGTATCCCCTCCTGCTTAGAGACAGGACACTTTCTACCTGTTGTGATGAAGGAAGTAGAGTAAAATACTTCTTGTTGTGTCCCCTAAAATGTAAGGGAATTTTTTAAACACAATGCCCATCTCCCACTGTGACAAAGTGATTGAAATCTGAAGAAAAAAACTGTCTTTTTACATTTCATAATTTGTATAGGAGGAGGGGGTTACTAGCCCCTAGCTTCCGGAATTTTAGTTGCCCCTTACAACATACATAGCTCATGGTGGAAGGATTTTTCCACTTAAAGTAAGGGATTTTTTTTAACACATATGCCATTTCCCACACTTTCATCATCATTCACTCTATCACTGTCTTGTCAGAGGTGTGCTTATACTACAGTTAAGAAACTGCAACATCAACACTCCTCCTTCAGAATGCAGGCACTGTACTTCCCACCTCAAGAACTTAAGTCCAGCTTGCCGGTTTCCCTGAATCCCTTCAGCACGTCAAGTCATAAAAACCATTTGTCTCCATTCGCTCTTATCTAACACGCTCACACACACTTCCTAGAAGTCCAGGCCCCTCACACACAAAAACCTCCCTTATCCCCTCACTACAATCTTTCCTAGGCCAACCCCTACCCTACCCTCCTTCCACTACAGATTTATACATTTTCCAAGTTAAAAAAAATTAGAGTTGAGACTATGCAGATTTTGAGGTAAAATAACAAAACAGCAGAGCCTTTATTCAAATAATGGCTGAGAGCACCTAATCAATACATCGGTTTGCCTTCACACCAAACAACAGCAACAACAATAGAGAGAAATTGGATTAAAGGGATTGATAAACAGAAGGAAAAACTAAAACCCGGGTAGACAAATTGAAAAATAAGCAACTGGGATTGATGGGATCAAAACAGAGAAGTTAAAAGCAGGTGGAGATATAATTTTGGAGTGGTTGGTGCAGTTGTTCAATAAATGTATGAAGGGGGAATGTACGCTGGGATTAGCAGTGTGCATAACTCCTTTGTATAAAGGAAGAGAGGATAAAAGAGAGTTTAAGAGTTAAGTATACTAATAAAGTATTTGGTAGTGTTATTACTTAAAGAATTAAGGGTAAGACAGAAAGCAGGCTTGCAGACGAACAAGGAGGTTTTAAGAATGGTAGGGGATGTGTAGACCAAGTGTTTACATTGAAACATAAATAAGTGAACAACATTTAGATAAAGGAAAGGAATTTTTCATTGCATTTATGGACTTTAAAAAGTGATATGATAGGGTGGAGAGGGAAGCAATGTGGAAGATATTGCAAGTGTATGGAATATGTGGTAGGTAACTTAAAGCAGTAAAGAGATTTTATGGGGATAGTGAGGCTCAGATTAGAGTATGTAGGAGAGGGAGTGGGAGATTATTTTCTAGTAAAAGCAGGCCTTAGACAGGGATGCATGATGTCACTGTGGTTGTTTAACATACTAACAGATGGGGTTGCAAAGAAAGTGAATATGTACTAGGGTGTTGGGGAGAGGTTTGGGGTTAAAAGACAAAGAATCTAATATGAAGTGGGAGCTGTCAGAATTGCTGTTTGCCAGTGTTTTTGTGAGATTCTGAAGAGAAGCTGTAAAGGTTGGTAGATGAATTTAGGAGGATATGTAAATGGAAATTAGAGGTGAACACGGGAAAGAACAAGGTAACGAGTAACAAAAAATTAGGTAATGCAAGAGTGGATATTAGATTGGAAGAAGGAAGTATGGAGGAAGTGAATGTGTTCAGATATTTGGGAGTGGACTTGTTGGTAGATGGGTCTACGAAAGATAAGGTGAACCATGGAACTGATGAGGAAAAAAAAAGGTGGTTGGTGCACTAAGGCATCTGTGGAGACAAAGAACCTTGTCCATAAAGAAGAATGAGACACTTGTGCAACATTTGGGGATCTTTATTGAGGAAACATTTTGCCAGTCAGTGGCTTCTTCAATCCAATATAAAGAAGAAGAATGGTAGAAAAATAGGAGGAAATTGAGGTAATCAGTCCCTCAGTTTGGAATTGATGTGTTCAGTCCATCAGCCTTGAAGAAAGTAGAGCATATGCTCAGAGAGGTGGCTTATATACTGCAGTCAGGTGAGTTGAAGCAGGAGGAGGCAGAGTCATAATGAAAGTATCCACTAGAGTAAGTAGGTAACATCCACAGGTTAGACAAGCGTTAACCTACTTACACTAATGGATATTTCCACTGTGACTCCACTGCCTCCTGCTTCAACTCACCTGACTGAAGTATATAAGCCACTTCTTTGAGCATATGCTGTACTTTCTTCAAGACTGATGGACTGAACATACTGATTCCAGGCTGAGGAATTGGTGTGTTCAGTTTCCTCCCCTTTTTCTACCATTCTTCTCTGTACTGGATTGAAGAAGCCACTGGCTGGCGAAATGTTTCCTCAGTAAAGATTCCCAAATGTTGTACAAGTGTCTCACTCTTCAATTTGTCAGTTTTTTAAACCAAATCATTTATCACTCTTATCCATGGAGGCAAAAAGGAAAATGTACCAGAGTACAGTGGTACCAACACTCTTATATGAGTGTGAAGCATGGTTTTTAAAACATTGCAGCGAGAAGGAGGCTGGAGGCAGAGATGTCATGTTTGAGGGCGGCGTGTGGAGGGTGTATAAATCTGTGATAGAAAGGAGGAGGGATAGGGTTGTCCTAAGAAAGGTTGGAAGGAGGTAAAAAAGGTTTTGTATATGAGGGGCTTGGACATCCAACTAGTGTGGGCATCTGAGCTATAATGTCAGCAAGGCTCTGGTAACACAGTGATAGAGTGATGGTGAATGTGTTACTTCTTTGTCAGGTTACCCTACCTCGGTGGGAGACAGCCTGTGTGTTAAAAAAAAAAAACTGCAATGTCACTTGTTTTGCTATCACTATAATTGTTCCTAAAATAAGTTTTTGTCAGTCATCACAGCAAGACTACCCTTGTTCTTGTCTTTTCTTGAGTCTTTTTTTATTACTACTTGTCAGCTGTTGCTACAATTTCACACATTCAAAATTCAGTGAATATTATATGCAAAACATGAACAAATGCATATACAGTATCACATACCTTAAGATGGTCATCGTACTGCTGCCGCCGCCTGAAACAAGCTGTACATATATGACAGTGGAAGCTGGTGGCTTTAAAGTGCTCAGCCATATGTAAGCTGTAGCTTTCGTTACCCTTACAAAACACGCCACACTTTTGACATACATGCTGTGGAAATCATAAATTATTATTAGTCAAAGAACAGATATTATAAAGTACAAAAAATTACTAAATATCTATTAAAGTACAGTGGACCCTCAGCATACGATGGCATCACCTTACGTTAAATCCAGCATACGATACATTTTAATGCAAAAATTTTGCCTCAGCTAACGCTAAAAAACTCGCCCTACACGATTCGTTCGAGATGCGTCCACGTGTGGCCTGAGTGCGCCTCAGTTGTCCCGTGGGTGCCAGTGTTTACAAGCCAGCCAGTGCGGTCGCATCCACGCATACAATTGGAACATTTCATATTATCACAGCATTTTTAGTGATTGTACCTGCAAAATAAGTCACCATGGGCCCCAAGAAAGCTTCTAGTGCCAACCCTGCAGAAAAAAGGGTGAGAATTACTATGGATATGAAGAAAGAGATAATTGCTAAGTACGAAAGTGGAGTGCATGTCTCGGAGCTGGCCAGGTTGTATACCAAACCCCAGTCAACCATAGCTGCTATTGTGGCCAAGAAAACGACAATCAAGGAAGCTGTTCTTGCAAAAGGTGCAACTTTTTCGAATAAGAGATCGCAAGTACTCGAAGATGTTGAGAGACTGTTACTGGTGTGGATAAACGAAAAACAGATAGCAGGAGATAGCATCTCTCAAGTGATCATATATGAAAAGGCCAGGAAGCTGCATGACGATTTAATTAGAAAAATGCCTGCAACTAGTGGTGATGTGAGTGAATTTAAGGCCAACAAAGGTTGGTTTGAGAAATTTAAGAATCATAGTGGCATACATAGTGTGATAAGGCATGGTGAGGCTGCCAGTTCGGACCAAAAAGTGGCTGAAAAACATGTGAAGGAATTCAAGGATTACATAGACAGTGAAGACTTGAAACCTGAACAAGTGTTTAATTGCGATGAAACAGGCCTGTTTTGGAAGAAAATGCGAAACAGGACCTACATTACTCAGGAGGAAAAGGCACTCCCAGGACATAAGCCTATGAAAGACAGGCTTACTCTTTTGATGTGTGCTAATGCTAGTGGTGATTGCAAAGTGAAGCCTTTATTGGTGTATCACTCTGAAACTCCCAGAGAGTTCTGGAGAAAGAATGTCCTCAAGGCTAATTTGTGTGTGATGTGGAGGGCAAACAGTAAGGCATGGGTCACTAGGGACTTTTTCTATGACTGGTTACACCATGTATTTGCCCCCACTGTGAAAAATTACCTCCTGGAAAATAAATTGGACCTGAAGTGCCTCCTGGTATTAGACAATGCTCCTGGTCATCCTTCAGACTTGGCAGAGCGACTTTCTGGGGACATGAGCTTCATTAAGGTCAAGTTTTTGCCTCCTAATACCACTCCTCTCCTGCAGCCCATGGACCAGCAGGTCATTTCAAACTTCAAAAAACTCTACACAAAAGCTATGCTTCAAAAGTGCTTTGTAGTGACCACAGACACTCGACTGACTCTAAGAGAGTTTTGAAGAGATCACTTTAGCATCCTCAATTGTGTAAACATTATAGGTAAGGCTTGGGAGGGAGTGACTAAGAGGTCCTTGAACTCTGCTTGGAAGAAACTGTGGCTAGAATGTGTAGAAAAAAAGGGATTTTGAAGGATTTGAGGCTAACCGTGAGAAGTGTATGACAGTTGTGGAATCAATTGTGGCATTGGGGAAGTCCTTGGGGTTGGAGGTTAGTGGAGAGGATGTGGAAGAGTTGGTGGAGGAGGACAATGAAGAATTAACCACTGATGAGCTGCAAGATCATCTTCAACAGCAAGAGGCCAGACCTGAGGAAACTGCTTCGGAGGAGGGGATAGAGAAATTGAAGAAGTTGCCTACTTCAAAGATTAAGGAAATGTGTGCAATGTGGCTTAACCCTTTGACTGTTTCCGACGTATAAATACGTCTTAAGAGCCAATGTTTCTGACGTATTTATACGCATAAATTCTAGCAGCTTCAAATCAAGCAGGAGAAAGCTGCTAGGCCCACATGTGAGAGAATGGGTCTCCATGGTCAGTGTGCACCATATAAAAAAAATCGGGGAGCCAGTGGTGCATTGTGGGAATGCCATTTCAGATTGTCATTTTTAGCAGTCTAGTGGTAAAGAAATGAGTGTGGAGTGCCAGCAAATCTGGGACTCTTCTCTTCCCAAGTGATGCTCTAAACAGATGGAAGTGTCAGTGAAGTCAATTCATGATTTGGAGGAGTTTGAGGACCAAAAGCAAGGAGGAGGAGGAGGGGGAGGAGGGGAGGAGAGGAGGAGGAGGAGGAGGAGGAGGGATGAAGAGCTGAGAGAGGAGGAGGAGGAGGAGGGGAGGAGAGAAGAGGAGGAGTGAGGAGGACGGAGAAGAAGAAGATGTAATATATTGTCCTTGAAGCGAAAAAAAAAAGTCCACCCCATGACAGTGCAGATAAGGGGATAATCATCTGATAGAGCTGACTTGTGTATGAGCGTTAAAGGAGGGTAATATACATGACCATCGCTCCCTTTTATTGCTGGTACAAGCAATACATTCTGTCTGTCTATTTGTCTTGGTCTGTCAGCTCCCTGTATGTCCTTTCTAGTCTCTGACTCAGAGAGGAAGCACAAGACTGTGTCATCAGTTTACTACATCTTCAAGAGGAGTATAGCACTTTGTCTGGATTTCTGGGTTTCTAGGTAATTTACACTATGTATAACTTGTATTTATGTGTACCTGTGAGTACAGAGATAGGCAGACAGAAAGAGAGGAAGATTGAAAGATAGAATGAGGGAGAAAAGATAATTAGATAGGAAATGGGAGGGAGGAGAGCAGCATCGACCCATTGTTTGACAGGCGGAGTAAGGGGTAGTGACTAATGAGAAATGTCACTTTGACAGCTGCGATTCTGACTCAAAAACATATAGCACACACTCCACACAAGGAGGAGGGGGAGAAGGAGAGGAGGAGGAGAGGAGGAGGAGAAGGAGGAGGGAGAAGAAGAAGGAGGAGAAGAAGAAGGAGAGAGGAGAGGAGAAGAGAAGAGGAGAAGAAGGAGGAGAAGAAGAAGGAGGAGAAGAAGGGGAGAGAAGAAGGAGGAGAAGAAGAAGGAGGAGAGAAGGAGGGGAGAAGGAGGAGAAGAAGAAGGAGGAGAAGAAGAAGGAGGAGAAGGAGGAGGAGAAGAGAGGAGGAGAAGAAGGAGGAAGAAGGGAGAGAGGGAGAAAGAAGGAGGAGAAGAAGGAGGAGAGAAGAGAAGAAGGAGGAGAAGAAGGAGGGAAGAAGGAGGACGAAGAAGGAGGAGAAGAAGGAGGAGAAGAAGAAGGAGGAGAAGAAGGAGGAGAAGAAGGAGGAGGAGAGAGAGGAGGAGAAGAAGAAGGAGGAGAAGAAGAAGGAGGAGAAGAAGAGGAGGAGAAGAAGAAGGAGGAGAGAAGAAGAGGAGGAGAAGGGAGAAGGAAGAGGAGAAGAAGAAGGAGGAGGAGAAGAGAGAGGAGGAGAAGAAGAGGAGGAGAAAGAAGAAAGGAGGAGAAGAAGAGGAGGAGAAGAAGAAGGAGGAGATGAAGAAGGAGGAGAAGAAGAAGGAGGAGGAGAGAAGAAGGAGGAGAAGAGAAGGAGGAGAGAAGAAGGAGGAGAAGAAGAAGGAGGAGAAGAAGAAGGAGGAGGAAGAAGAAGGAGGATGAAGAAGAGGGAGGAGGAGGAAGAAGAAGGGAGGAGAAGAGAAGGAGGTGGAGAAGAAGAAGGAGGAGAGAAGAAGGAGGAGAAGAAGAAGAAGGAGGAGAAGAAGAAGGAGGAGAGGAGAGAAGGAGGAGAAGAAGGAGGAGGAGGAGGAGGAGGAGGAGGAGGAGGAGGAGGAGGAGGAGGAGGAGGAGGAGAGGAGGAGGAGGAGGGGAGGAGAGGAGGAAGAAGAAGGAGGAGAGAGAGAAGAAGGAGGAGAAGAGGAGAGGAGAAGGAGGAAGGAGGAGGAGGAGAAGGAGGAGGAGGAGGAGGAGGAGGAGGAGGGAGGAGAGAGGAGGGGGGAGGAGGAGGAGGAGGAGGAGGAGTAGGAGGAGGAGGAGGAGGAGGAGGAGGAGGAGGAGGAGAGGAGAGAGAAGAGAAGAGAAGAAGAAGAGAGAGAAGAGGAAGAAGAAGAAGAGAAGAAGAAGATAGAAGAAGAAGAAGAAGAAGAGAGAAGAAGAAGAAGAAGAAGAAGAAGAAGAAAAGAAGAAGAAGAGAAGAAGAAGAAGAAGGAATTATTATTATTATTATTATGTTTGTTTGTTTGTTTGTTTGTTTGTTTGTTTGTTTTTGTAAACAAGTTTTGTAAACAATATATTGATAATTATGTTTGTGTGCTTATTGTGTTGTATGCAACGAGTGTATATATATACATTGCACCTTACTTTGGTCTCATAGGCCACATAAGTTATGTGAAAAAATAAAATAGTGAAAAAAACAACAAACCTTCAAATACAAGTAAACTAAAGTTTACCGGGTGAGCGGCAGTCGCCGCTGTTGCCATACGCGGCTCATTTTCTGCAAACTTCACGGCTCTATATCTCGGTAAGTACCGATGGCAAAAATTTTTTTTTTGGACTAAAACACTCAGAAAAATAATCTTAACATTTTCATAAGAAAAAATAAATTTTTTTTTTGAATATTTGGCGACATAGAATGACAGTTTCAGAGAGGGGCCTGAAACAGTCAAAGGGTTAAAGTGCAAACCTTTATGGATGAAATATGGATGAAAATCACCCTCACACAGCTATTGCAAGCCAAACATCAAAATGGTATACAATACCGACAGGTTGGTAGGTAAGACAGTGACAGTGCGGAGACTTAAATACTGACAGTATTTAAGTCTCCGCACTGTCGCTTGATCTTCAGACAGTTCCTGACTATGGAACTGAACTTCTCCAGGCTGAGGGACTGACAATCTCAAATTCTACAACTTCAAGGGTGATGGACTGATTACATCGTCTTCACATCTCTACTGTTCCTGCCTACTTTCTGTATTCGACTGAAGAAGCCTACTGTGTAGGCGAAAAGTTTCGGAATAAAGTTGCCTAACTGTTGCCTATGTGTATTGCAAGCCGTGCTGGTGACTATTACAATGACAATGTTGTGAACCACTTTCGACAAATCATAAAGGAACGAGAGGTACAGGCCTCTATGGACAGATATGTTGTGCGACAGAGGTCCAGTGACTCTCAAGCTGGTCCTAGTGGCATTAAAAGAAGAAGGGAAGTAACCCCGGAAAAGGACTTGATACCTCAAGTCCTAATAGAAGGGGATTCCCCATCTAAACATTAACAACTTCCACACTCTCCTCTCCTCCCATCCCATCAATCATCACCAGATCTTCAATAAAGGTAAGTGTCAGTTTGTGTGTATTAAAATTAATATTTCATGTGGTAAAATTTTTTTTTTTCATACTTTGGGGTGTCTTGCACGGATTAATTTAATTTCCATTATTTCTTATGGGGAAAATTATTCAGCTAATGATAATTTCAGCATACGATAAGCTTTCAGGAACGGATTAATATCGTTAGCTGAGGGTCCACTGTAATACGGTGGTACCCTGAGTTTCATACAGCTCCCAACTCGAACAATTATGTAAGTGTATTATCGTAGTGCTTCTGTAAGAGTATTTTTGGGGGTCTGAGACGGACTAATCTAATTTACATTATTCCTTATGGGAACAAATTTGTTTGGTAACAGCACTCGAGCAGCTTTCTGGAGCAAATTATGGCCAAAACTCGGGGTACCACTGTAATTACTTAAAATTCAAATTTGTATAGTACACGAATTTATCCCTTATTTAGTTTTAAGAATGATGGTAAAAGTCTAACATGATGAATCTATGTTGCCCAAAATATTTTTGTGTGAAATATTTAACCATAGTTTTTTTTTTTTTTTAACAAGCCGGCTCTTTCCCACTGTGGCAGGGTGATCTGAAAATGAAACACTTTCACCATCATTCGCACTATCATTGTCTTGTCAGAGGCACGCAGTTTAGATGTCACTCTAAACAGCAAATATGTATCCCAAAATCCCCCTTAAGAGTGCAGGCACAGTACTTCCCACCTCCAGGACTCAAGTCCGGCTAACTGGGTTCCCTGAATGCTCACACTCCAACAGCTCGTCAAGTCCCAAACATCATTCGTCTCCACTCATTATCTAACATGCTCACACATGCCTGTTGTATGTCCAAGCCCCTTACACACAAAACCTCCTTTACCCCTTCTTCCTCCATCCTTTCCTAAGACAATCCCTATTCCGCCTTCCCTCCACTACAAATTTATACACCCCTCCAAGTTATCCTATTTTGCTCCATCCTCTCTAAATGACCAAATCACCTCAATTCCTCCTCAGCCCTCTGAATAATGCTTTTAGCAGCTCTGCACCTTCTCCTCATTTCCAGGCTACGAATTCTCTGCATAATATTTACATCACACATTGCCCTCAGACACATCATCACCACTGCCTCCAGCCTCCTTCTCAATGCAACATTCACAACCCATGCTTCACACCCATATAAGAATGTTGGTATCAGTATACATGTACTGTCATACATTCTCTTCTTTGCCTCCATAGATAATGTCCTTTGCCTCATCTCACACAGATACCTCAATGCACCACCCACCTTTTTCCACTCACCAATTCTTTGGTTTACTTCGTCTTCCATATACCCAACCTCTGACAAGTCCGCTCGCAAATATCTGATAACTAATTTTTCCTTACCTAACTTGCTTGATCAAGGATCTGACCTGTAATGATTTTCTTTGTATACATTATCAGGTCTCTGATCTTTTCCTTTCCAGAGAGTACATTCCAAGTACTATGCAGTGCTTCTAGTAGTTCAAGTTAAGAGATCTAGGAATACACTCAAAAGCAAATTCCTGGTTCCCTAGTTTTATGACCATCATACATGAAGTGTAAAACATGATTATGAGAATACAAAGCAAGGGGTGATTCACAATGACTTATAACTTACCAAACAATACTCACCTCATTGCTTGTGGCATGGATCTTGAGATGATAGTAAAGGGAGGATCGTTTGAGAAAGGTTCTGCTGCACATATGGCATGGATATGTGTTAGAAACTAAATCAAAATTGTGCTCTAATTTCATATGAGCCTTCAGCTTCTTGTGACTGCAAAAACTCTGGTGACATTTGCTGCACACATTCTTCTTGTGACCTTCCATATGCCGTGAAAATGTCACCTGAAAAGGTGGGTGAAAAATTTAGCAATTAAATACAGTACAGTGGCACCTCAAGTTTTGAACAGCTCCCAACTCGAACAATTATGTAAGTGTATTTTTGTAAGTGCTTTTGTAAGTGTATTTTTGGGGTCTGAAACAGACTAATCTAATTTATATTATTCCTTATGGGAACAAATTTGTTCAGTAATGGCACTCGAACAGCCTTCTGGAATGAATTAAGTTCGTAACTCGTGGTACCACCGTACTGTAATGAGAGAGTAATAATAGGTGTGTTGATGGACAAGAACTACAAAATTATGAAGAATTTTTCAGAAACAAAGTTACCTTATATAATGACAATGTTCTGAGGCTTGTTAATGAAAAAATCCATATCATTACATATTAAGGTTGTTGATCTAAATTAATTTTTCATAAGCCTCAAAATGTCAATATATGCCATATTTCTGATATAACCCTAACTCCACTGGACTTTGAAAAAGCCACTGACAACATTCTTATTCACTCTGCCCCAGGCCCAGACTGATGGAAATCTGTGTTCAAGAACTGCAAGAAACCCCTTTTGCATGCCTTAAACACCTGATCAGGTTTGTAGCCACCCTCAGAAACAATGTTCGCTAGCTGGCCAGGAACTTGTTTGCATCAGCATAGTTAGCAAAGGCACTCTTCCCACTGAACTATATATTATGCAAGCAACTGTACATTTTAAATCTGTTAACCCCTTGACTGTTTCGGTCATATATATACATCTTACGAGCCACCGTATATATTCTCATAAATTCTAGCAGCTTCAAATCAAGCAGGAGAAAGCTGGTAGGCCCACATGTGAGAGAATGGGTCAGTGTGGTCAGTGTGCACCATATAAAAAAAATCCTGCAGCACGAAGTGCATAATGAGAAAAAAAAACTCCAACCATTTTTTTTTAATTAAAATGCTGACTTTGTGGTCTATTTTCGTACAGTGGACCCACGGTTATTGGCTGGTTCAGTTATCAGCCAACTCGGTTATTGGCTAGTTTTTTGGCGCCTGGTTATCGGCCATTTGGGAGGCGTCCATCCGCCGGCTGGGGCCGCTTGCGAGACAGTTTGGCTTTGTCTCTGGGCGAGTGAAGAAGCTTCTGCTCATTCATCCAAATATTTTGCTATAATCCATTGTTTTTTGTGGTTATTGAGTGCAACTGCAAAATAAGCAACCATGAACCCCAAAAAACACGTTACATAGTATATAAAAATATGCAATGTTTATATGCAATGTATATGTAATAATAATCACTGGTACATTAAATGTCTTATTTTACATTAATATAGACATTTTCATTAATCCATCTATTATGTCTTCTTCAAAATTATATAAGAAACATGTTACATAGCATATAAACATGCAATGTTTATTATATACGATGTATATTTAATAATCACTCTTTGCCACATTAAATGTCTTATTTTACGTTAATATAGACATTTTCATTAATCCATCTGTGATATTTTCTTCAAAAATATAAGAAACACGTTACATATCATGTAGCACATAAACATGCAATGTTTATATGTTATCGAGTGGAGAGTGGGATGGAGAGTAAACATTACATTTTCTCTGATGCAGCGTTAGAGAAAACTGTGAATCTGGCGACTGGTGCAGTAACCGCCCTTCATATGCGTTTGTTTACAATTCTTGGCATGAATTATTCATTACTTCTCCCTTTGTTTATGATGGCATGTAAAGGTAGTTGTTAGAAATGATTAAACTCAGTGAACATGGTAATAATATGGCTGTGTAGTGTAATAATATAGCTGTGTAGTGTAGCCCAGGGATGGGGGCTACATACATGTACTGTACCTACATCTACTGCTACCAAATCTGACTTCCTACAAATAAATACTACTCACCTCTTGCCCTACATTAAGACTACAAATATTTTAAGGTAAGTAATGAATGTACAGGTCTGCCATCATAAATTCGGCAATCAGTTATTCGGCTCCTTCAGTTATTCGGCACTAATTTTGGCTAGCATAATTTCAAATTTCCAGGGTCGCCACACCAACCTGCTGGTACTGTTTGGTGGCGCTACTTGCTGCATAAGTCATTCCAATTTCTTTTTCTCCATTTATTGTTTTAACCTGTTTACTTTTAGTCTTAGCCATGGTTCCAATGAATAAAAGAAATGCTTCTCATTATGTAAAGCACCTACACAGTACATTATCCATTAAAGATAAGGTGGCTTTGAAGCCACTGTCGGCTGCCATGAGCTCAGTCTCACGAAACAGGAGAATATGCTTTATTATTACGCTAATATCAACACTACAGCTTATTTGCCTATCACAATTGATCTAATATGACATAATAAACAATATAAATAACATATAACATGTTAAATACTCCAGAATAAATAATATTTGGCATAACACCGAGCAGTTTGACGAAGGTATGAAGAGGATATATGGTATACAAATACCATTCTCCTATCCCTGTCTTGGGGGCTTATATTAGAGAAAACGGAGTATAGTACAGGGCTAACTGTGATATACACTCGTACTGCACCATAAACCTGAAACAAAAAAGTTATTTTCTCTATACAGATTATCACACATAGCAGCATATGTGTAGAGAACCTAGGATAACTCAAAAAAGTCAACGTGGCTTATTTTTAGTACCTGGCTTGGGTTAGCCATATATGCTTTTTGGTAAATATTCAATTCCCAGCCAGGGTAGAAACATTAGGCATGTTTCTTTACACCTGTTGTCTATGTTTACCCATCAGTAAGTGGGTACCTGGGTGTTAGCCGACTAGTGTGGGTGTTATCCTGGGACATTGACCTAATTTTCTTGAAATACTCTGCATAATAGGCGGCTTTCTATACAGTAGTATGTCACTGATGTCAGCTAGGATTGTACAGGTCTCCCTCAACATTCACGTTTTCAACTTTCACGGGCTTCACACATTCGCGAATTCCCAACTGCCAAATTCCCAGCCACCAAATTCCCAGCCGCCAAATCATATTTAAGTTTCCTGCCACCTGCGAGTCCCTACTACCCTCCCTCCGACCCCCACAACTGGCAGCCAGCCCTCCCACCACTCAGTGTGGTGAGTGTTTTGTTTGTTCATTATTTGCTATTAAACTACAGTATAAATAATGTAAACCCATTCATGACTGCATATTGGAATGGCTATTCGGACAGGTATTAGACGGTGACATCATGTGTTTACTCTTGAACACTGCAAAGAATTAAACATTTCTGCTACAGCTAATAATAACAATAGTAATAATAATAATAATAATAATAATAATAATAATAATAATAATAATAATAATAATAATAATAATAATAATAATAACAGTAATAAATATGATATAATTGAAGAAGGAAATTGTACAAAAATACGAGGGAGTGGTTGACACATCGTCAGTGTGACTTTGTTTATGCTGGAGTGAACATTAGTCTCCCTGCTCTTCCAAACATTTCACAATAATTCATTGTGTTTGGTGCTTGTAGATTGAGTGTGACTGGAGTGGTAGAGCAGTGATTGAGGCAATGGTATTTAATAACATACATGTTAATAATAATACATGTTATTAATAATATGTACTATTATTATTTATAACATATATGTTATTAAATACATACATGTTAATAATAATACATGTTATTAATAATAACATGTACTATTATTATTTATAACATATATGTTATTAAATACCACTGCCTCAACCGCTGAATTATTGTGAAATGTTTGGAAGAGCAGGGAGACTAATGTTCACTCCAGCATAAACAAAGTCACACTGATGATGTGTCAACCACTTCCTCATATTTTTGTACAATTTCCTTCTTCAATTATATCGTATTTATTATTATTATTATTATTATTATTATTATTACTATTGTTATTATTAGCAATAGCAGAAATGTTTAATTCTTTGCAGTGTTCAAGAGTAAACACATGATGTCACCGTCTAATACCTGTCCGAATAGCCATTCCAATATGCAGTCATGAATGGGTTTACATTATTTATTCTGTAGTTTAATAGCAAATAATGAACAAACAAAACACTCACCACACTGAGTGGTGGGAGGACTGGCTGCCAGTTGCGGGGGTCGGAGGGAGGGTAGTAGGGACTCGCAGTGGTGGAGGCATTGGTGGAGTCTGTGGTATTTAATAACATACGTTATTAACATACATGTTATTAAATAACATACGTTATTAAAGCATAACATGTATATATTTAGTACAATTTACAACGTTTTCATGTATTTTATGATTATTCATGGTTCAACAAGTTAAGGAAGCAGTATTGTAATATATTTCCCTACAATATATTGGGGCACCAAGCATTCACGGTTTTTCAACATTCGCGAGGCTCTTGATCCCCTAACCCTCGTGAATGTTGAGGGAGACCTGTATACCTTGTACATGTATGTGTAGTAAATAAAGATATTATTATTATTATTATTATTATTATTATTATTATTATTATATTATTTTCTCAGTTGTTTGTTGGGTTATCTTATTCAAACTTGGGCAATGTATGATGGAAAGATACTTCTTAATTAACGTACACCAAAAATGAAAGAAATCAGACCATAAATAGTGGAGTTCACTTCTCAGCCATTAGTGGTCACTTAGCGGTATATTTTTGTATGTTTTTATGGCTATATTCTCATTTTTTCGGTCTCATTTGATAGAATGAAACATACATTACAGAAATAGATATGATTTTGATTGCTTTCATGATGAAAAGTACCTTAAAATTGCGCTCACAGTAGCAAAAATGTTATGTTCTTTAGCAAAGCTCAAGAGTAAACAAATGACGTCACCGTCCAATACCTGTCTGCCTGCCAGTCCAAATTCCAGTATGTAGTCTGAGTTGACATTATTTATACAATTATTACAATAATGCAGTAGTCTGCATACCAGTAAATCTTCTATTTTTTTGTGTGAATAAAAATTCCAAATGATAAGCAAGAGTAATATAAGAGGAGCTTGGAGCCATGACCAATGAACAGAG